TTTGAGCTGAAATCTTAGGAGTGAGTACATGTGTGAGGGAGGGTGTGAAGAGTGCTCCAGAAAGAGGGGACAGTACGTAGAACCGCAGCACAGTAGTTCTAAGTTCTGAAGGGGAAGAGTGGTACAAGTGAAGGCTTACTTACAAGTGAAGGCCAAGCAGGCCTCGGCTTAGGTGTTTAGGCTCCTGAAGGGTTATCCAAAATCTGGTCCCTATCCTAAGAGCAATGGGAAGTCACTGAAAAGTTCTGAGTGAGGGATGACAAATCAGATTGACAGTTTGAAAAGATCACTTGATGCAGCGTAGAGAGTGGATAGGAAGGGGCATGAGTAGATGAGGGGAAAACCAGTTACAAGGCTTTTATAGCACTCTGAAAGTGAAAGATGACTGTTGGCTGGGCTAGGCGGGTGACAGTGGTTTGATTCGAGAAAAAAGTGGTTTGATTCGAGAGATAATTAGGAGGTAAAGGGGCAAAGGATCATATCCACGGCTTGAGGAAAATAAGAAGTGTAAGGATGACACTGAGGAGAAGGGTCACAAAAGTGAGCATATCTTACTTTGGACATAGAGAAACACGTCAATTTCCTTTAGATTCTGCTCCCCTCCTCCTATCCTTTCTTCCCAGGCCCAGTCGCCAGGCTCAAAATCTCTGAATCATCAGACTCTCTTCCTGGCTATGCACCACTTGCCCCTACCCTAGTCACCCCACACCAAGATAAATATTTCTAAAAGTATTGTCCCAGAGGGGCCTCTGGACAGACCACAAAATGATCCGAAAACACAAGTCTTTTCTTTGGCTCTTACAGGCAAATGATGTAAAATCCCAGACTTTGATTTTTTTTTTTATAGTAACCAACTGAGTTATAAAGGAATACTAAAATTTGTTAGTCATAAACTAAAATTAGCTTTTAACTGGAGTTCACAGAAGACTCTAATTCAGTTCTCTACTAAGAAGCCTGGCTGCCAGGCAATGTTTGGGAAAGCTGCAAAGCTCCTCCTGCATACATACACATGCAGCCAGTTGGAATTCTCGCAATTTTCAGGAAGGACGGTTTGTTATTAGGGCGTTACCAGTGATGTTTTGAGCTGGTCATGGTTTATGGTGCCTGACATTCATGCATTTTAATTACAAATTATGACTCATGGAGCTCCATCATGATCAGTTTAATATGCCATGGGTTATTTGATTAACCCTGTGGGGTAGGGCGATACGCCTCTCTGACCTTATTTCCCATCACTTTCCCCATCCCTTCCTTGCTGATCCAGAACACGTGTAGCAGCAGCTCCCATCTCAGGGACTTTACACTTGCTATGCCCTCTGTCTGGAATGCTTCCCCTCCAGATATCACATAGTTAACTCTTTCATTTCCCTCAGGTCTTTCTCAAATGCCACCTCTGCGAGGCCTTCCCTGACTACCCTATTTAAATCACAATCTTCTGGTTCCCTGACTGTCATAGTCCACTGCCCGGCTTTATTTTTCTCCTTGACAGCTATCAACATCTGATAATCTATATATTTTACTCATTTGTTTATTGACAATTTACCTCCAACTAAAAGATAAGCTCCTGAGAGCAGGGGTTTATGTTTTGTTTGTTGCTATATCACCAATACATGGCCCATAGTAGGTGCTCAATAAATAATTGTTGAATGAGAATGAATATTTACATCATCAGAATTTTTGACCTCTTAATGTCCAACACCCAGCTCCTAAGGCTGGGTACGTGTAGTTCACATTTGCATCACTCACAGCCCTACTGCCAAAGCAGATACAGACATGAACCCGGAAAACATGCTTCTACAGAGACATCTCCCCATTATCACTCCCCACTAGTCTCCCCATCCCAGGGTCACCTCTTCCTACCCTTCAAACACACTCAGATCAAAATCTCCAAAGAACAGCTCAAGGCATTCAGAATTCATATTCAACTCACTTTCTCAAAATTTAATATATTCCAGGCATTGTGCTAGGTTCAGGGGAATCAACAATGAATGAGACAGACATGATCCTTGCCATCCCAGAGTTTACAGTCTAGTGGGGATATCATCCTATCGCACCTCCAGGAAGGGGACTTACTCTCTTGTAGGAGAATATGACAGCCAAGCTGAGACCTGCTGTATGAACAGGAGATGAAGGAGAGCTTTGGGGCAGGGTGGCATGGAGCAGGCGGCAGCAGATAGAAAAGACTGTACCAGGCAGGCAGAGGAAATAGCAGTTTCAAAGGCCTGGAGGAGAAAGAGAGTGTAGATGTCATTTTCCAGGAAGTGAGGGCAGTTGAGTGTGTTGTGACTGTGGAATCTTCACAGAGCAATGGTGAGACCTGCAGTAGGGTGGGTAGTAAAGGCTAGACCTTGCAAGGTCTTGGAGGCCATACAAAGCAACTTAGACATTTGAGACTTTATCCTGAGAGCAAAAGGGAGCCACTGAAAGGTCTGATGAGTGGAGTGACATGAACAATGGAGTTTAAACTCTTCTCTGTCTCCTAACAAACCCAACCCTGACCTGCCCTCCCTGCCGCAGGCATCCAAGTTGTAGCTGCCTCTTCCCTAAAGCTTTTCTGCTGCTTGAAACTGCGTATCTCTCTCTCTCTCAGCCCCAGGAATCCCATCCTCCCTTATCTGTGTATGCCTGTGTTCTGTCTCCCGCAATAGACTGAGTTCCCCAAGGACAGGAACAACTTCTCAAACCTCTCTAGGTCGTCCCACACCCAGCTCACCACTGACCCAGAGTGGGCTTCACTGAGACAAGAGAGTGATGAATACAACCTAGCACAACCCGGCCTTTTCTCACACCCCACACACCAATATTTACACTGTACTAAAACAACCGTTCCCTCCAGGGGGTAGGGCTGAAGTGTGCAGGGCCAGCTGACCCAGGTTTCTCTGCTTCCCGTCTGCTGTCATCTCTCTCTGCTCTCAGTGTAATTAGCCTCCAATGTCTCCCCTAATGGGCTGGAGAAACGGATCCCCAAGCTTGTTCAAACTGCAAGTGCTAGAAAAGACAAAACTAATTTGTAGTGACAGAAAACACACCAGTGGTTACCTGGGGCTGGGGGTTGGGGAGAACTGACTGGGACGAGGCACAAGGGAAATTTTGGGGGTGAGAAAGTGTCCTGTATCTTGATTGTGGTTCACAAGTGTATAAATTTGTCAAAACTTGTCAACATGTACAACAAAAATGGTCCATTTCCCAGGGCTGGCCCCGTGGCATAGCAGTTAAGTGCGGGCGCTCCGCTGCTGGTGGCCCGGGGTTCGGCTCCCGGGCGCGCACCAATGCACCGCTTGTCAGGCCATGCTGTGGTGGCGTCCCATATAAAGTGGAGGAAGATGGGCACAGATGCTAGCCCAGGGCCAGTCTTCCTCAGCAAAAAGAGGAGGATTGGCATGGATGTTAGCTTAGGGCTGATCTTCCTCACAAAAAAAAACGGTCCATTTCATTGTATGTAAAGCAGATCTCAGTAATGCTGAATTTAAAATAAACTGCACGTAAATAAAGAATCAGTAGGCCCAAGCACAGTACCTGAGCTTCAAAAACACAGTTCAACGCTGACATAAAACTAGGGCATGGCCATACGGGAATAGCAGCCTCCCCATGGTGACAGAGATCTAAGAAAGATGGGTCCACCTGCCAAGGAAGGCCAGGGGAGAGAAGCAAAGGACCAAAGGCTGATCTGGAGCAGGCCAGACCAAAATATGTAAAGTCAAGCAGCATGGACACAGATTTGCACTCCACACCTCAACCTCAAAATACCTAGGCCTGAGTGAGGGAAATTTAGAATAAATAAATATAAATCCTGCCTCACAGAGCCAGAAACTGCATATTAGTCCCAGAGTGATAATTCATAGAGGGTCTGGAAAAAGTGATTTGTGAAGGACCGAGTGGCTTCACCACAGAGGGCTTCTTGAGAAGCTGGGCCTTGCCTCACCTTCCAGGGTGATGCTGGTAGGAAAGCAGAACTCTGTGCTGGGTGGGTCAGGGGTTTCCTGTGAGAAGGAATGACATCTGGCCAGGTGGCAACAAGGACACATGTTCACATGGCTGAATGAGTCACAGGAGTGGACCAGGGGCTCACAGGGAAGAGAGACATATGCGGCTCCAAAAATAATGGGGGGCCAGTGTTTGGGGTGTGCACTGTGTGAAGGGGGGTCAGGAATGGGAAACAGGTCTCTCTCCTCTTCCTCTTATCTGACCCTGTCTCCTCCCAAGTTTCCCAGCACAGAAAATCCAAACCAAACTCCTGCACATAATGTCTTTGAGACAAGAATGTGAGGGCAAGGAGGAAGGGTGGGGGTGGGGGTGGGGGTAAAGGAGGACAGGCTGGTCAGGATGGGTCTGCGGACCGAGTGGAGTGAGGAAGAGGAGTGTGCAGAGTGTGGGAGAGGAGGCTAGGATCAGTGGTAGAGAGTAGGACAGGGTCAGAGGTGAGTGGGAACACAGGCCAGGGGTCACAGAGAGAGGTTAGGGGTCAACAGGAAAAGGAAGATGAAGGATCAGTAGGAGAGGTGTGATCAGTGGTCACTGGCGGCGAAGGTCAGAGGTCATCGGGAGAGGGCAGGTCGGGTTGTGTGTTACCTGCCTACGAGGCGGCTGTTTTGGGGGCATCTTCGAAGAAGCAGGAAGCACCTCAACACTTGGAGCGCCTACAAAACGCTCCCTCGCCTAAGGACAAGAAGTTTATCCGTCCCCTGGATCACGCACAGAAAATCCGGATTCTTTTTCACTTCAATTTCCAGTCGCAGGGGTTCTTTGGGGACAGTCGTCGTTGTGGGTCCCCGCGCCCTTGTAGGATGGAATCGGCTCCACCCTGACGCGGTTACCCAGCAACCAACCGGCAGCCAAGGCGCAGGCGCCTCTGACACCTCCCCCCGGCCCGAGGGGGAGGCGGGGCTGGGCGCGCGGGGACCGCCCGCTCCGCTAAGCCCCGCCCCTCAGGGGGTAACGGGACCCGCGGCCTCGCCTTCGGAACCCCTGAATGTGGGCGGGGCGGGCCGCCCAGGCACCGCCTCCTCATGAATAATGCAGCATCCAGGCGGTGTCCCGGACCCGGAAGTGGAGTTGCCGAGTCACCGCAGTGGCTGAGCTGCTGACAGGAGGCGGCGGCGGAGGAGGAGGCGAGGCAAGACCTGCGGCTCCGCCGGGCCACAGCCGCGGTAGCGCTAGGCAAGCCCACGAAGCCACGCCGGCCTCAGCCGCCAGCGAACCTCCCGCCCCGCGCCCCCTCCACCGTCTGCCCGGCCGCCTGCCCGCCCGACGCGTCCGGGGCGGCCTAGTCTGCACCACCCACCGGCTCCTGGGGCCGCCGCCCCGCGCGGTCCATCGGCGTCCCTGGCCGCGCCCGCCCCGGGCCCGCTCGCCCGCCCGCCGGCACCATGATGGAGGAGATCGACCGGTTCCAGGTGCCCACCGCGCACTCGGAGATGCAGCCGCTGGTGAGGGGGCGGGCGGCGGGCAGGCCAAGGCCGGGAGGGGGCGCTGCCTGAGGGGGAGGGAGGGAATCAGGCCTTGGGCACTGTGCGGAGGGGCGCCTTCGGATGGGGCAAAGAGAGCCAGGAAAACGCATCACCGGGAGAGGGGGACTTGCAGGACGAGAAAACCGTGGGAGAATACGCGGGGTGACAGCAAAGCGGCCTGTAAGGGCGGAGGGCACCGTCAGCGGATGGAGGCCAAGCGGGCTACGGGGAGCGCCGTCGGACGGAACCGAGCGGGCCACAATGGTGCACACCGCTAGTGGAGGCCCCTAGCTGGGAAAGGAAGGGAACTGTCATGAGGCACCGCGGGCGGCAGGCCCCGGGGGCTGGGGTGAGAGGTGGGGAGGCGTTTAACTGTAGAGGCCTGTGATGCTCAGGGCGGGGGAGGGGGCCAGGGAGCAGTCAGGCTAAGAAAGACTGGGAATAGGCTTGGAAAGGAGGAGGGGCCTGCCCGCCAGTGCGCTGGGTATGGGTGGGAACCCGGATCCGGGGCCAAGGGCCGGTGGGGGCAGAGGGTCGGTGCAGGGCCCTGGAATTCCATTCTTCTCCGGAGGACAGCGCAGGCAGTCTAGGCTGCGGGGAGGAGAGAGCGCGGCGGCGAGATGGAGAATCAGGGTCGCGGATGAGAGAGCCTGGGAACCGACAGGAGAGGGGGCGGGGCCGCGCTGGAGCCGCCCGTGCCCACCCGTTCGGGCGAGCCCCCAGCATCCTAGGCCTACGTGCTCGCAGTCCTTGCTGGGCGCCGATCCTGCCGCCTGTCCGCGGTCCCGGAGTCAGGGAGGAATGATGTCATCGCTGCCGGCGCGGAGGGGATGGAAGGGGGAGGGCGACGCGAGCGCACGGAGGCCAGGCCTAGGGGAGATCAGGCCCGTTGGCCACCACTTCGGGTGGCTACCTGACTGGTCTCTCCGCCCCGCAGCGAGGTGAGAGACGCCAAGGCCTAGCCAGCTGGTATAGGGAGAGGGGGAAGGGAAGGAGTGCCCCGGCTCTGTTCGCTTTTCCTTCTCATTTCCCCTTGGGGCCTGAGGAAGAGCTGGAAGGAGGCAGGGTGGGCCACGAACCTGAAGGTGTGGATGCCCTATTCTCTGAGGTCTGCTGGAGAGGAGCAGAGCTCTCCAAGTTCTGAAGAGCTGGAGCTCCCTGAGCCTCCTCTGTCTGTGTTAGGTGAGGAGGTAAGGAACAGGTCCTACCCTTGGGCCCCCAGGCCTCTGGCTAACAGATGTGCTTTGTGGCTTCCTGAGCAAGTAAGCTGCCTACTACAGCAGCCAAGACAGACCTTGGCAGGGACCCATGACCGACTCTAAGCCACACCTTTTGGGGGATGGTAGAGAGAATTCTTAGAGGGTACCTAGCAGGAGATAAGTAGCTTTTTCCTAGAACTTAGACAGTTCTAGAAGCCAAAACAGAGAAGCTTTACAAAAGTGTACAATATTAAACTGGGGAGAGAGATGGTGCTGGACTTTTTTCCTAGTCTGATGCCATCACTGGATTATTTGGGAGCCAGATAATCCTGGTGAGAAGCCTGTCCTGTAAGGGCCCACCCCGTGGTTTAGCGGTTAAGTGCGCGTGCTCCACTGCTGGCGGCCTGGGTTCAGATCCCAGACGAGCACCGACGCACCGCTTCTCCAGCCATGCTGAGGCCGTGTCCCACATACAGCAACTAGAAGGATGTGCAGCTATGACATACAACTATCTACTGGGGCTTTGGGGGAAAAATAAATAAATAAATAAATAAAATCATTAAAAAAAAAAAAAAAAAAGAAGTCTGGCCTGTAAACTTGAAGAACTTTGGACTGGATTAAGAGAACTTTCCTTTCTAGATTATCTTTCCAGCCAACCTGGCTTGTCAAACTAGATTGACCTCCCAGTTCTAAGCATCTAATTAAGAACCAAAAGTGAGCATGGATAAGGGATGAGGAGGAGGAGGTCCAAGTGAGTCAGGAGAAGAAAGCAATGAGTTGGTTCTTGCCTCCCATCTGGGGTTCCTAAGAAGGGAGGCAATAGCTGTCAAGGGAAGGGGAGGAAGGAATGGGTCACCAGGCTCTCTCAGTTGTCCTTGGTGCCTCTGTTATTGCCTGAAGTACTCAAGGATGGTTTGAGTGAGCAGTGGCCCCAGAAGACTGCTGAGCTGCTTCTGGTCTGTGTGGCTCTGAAGTAGAAGTGCTGATGGCAAGGAGGCACTTAGAAAAGTTGTGGCTGCCTTCAGACCCTTTCTTTGAAGGCTAAAGGAGCCCTTCTCTGCAAGAGGATCCTTCATTGAGGTCGAATGAGAGCCTTATGGAAGTAACAATACAGTCATCCTTCATTTGGGGGTCATAGACATTGCCCTGCAGGTCTCTGCCTCTTGACCCTTGTTCCCAGGCTGAAGTCTAGAGGATCCCCAGAACTCTTTAAATGCTCTGTGTATTATTGAAATCAGCAGAATCTTGTGTGGAGCTTCCCCAAGAGCCTTCATTTCAGGGCATAAGGAATGAATATGGCATACTGCAGAAGAAAAGGGCAAAGGGGGTCTTTAGGGGTGTTTGAGTAGACCATAAAAACTAGGGTCTTAGGCTTGGACTCATCTGTGACCTATTTCAATTTTTTCCATTATTTACTGAGACCTCTAGGAAGTCTCTCCTCTTCTCTGGACTGTTTTCCCACTTATGAAATGAAGACAAACTATCTCTTTAAAGTTTAAACAATAGCCCCTCACTCTCTCTTCCAAAGAATATCATAGAGACCTGATATCATTGATCCATCAGATTTTTTTTTTTCCCTAAAGCCCCAGTAGATAGTTGTATGTCATAGTTGCACATCCTTCTAGTTGCTGTATGTGGGACACGGCCTCAGCATGGCCGGACAAGCAGTGCATCGGTGCGCGCCCGGGATCCAAACCCCGGCCGCCAGTAGCAGAGCACGCGCACTTAACCGCTAAGCCACAGCGCCGGCCCTGATCCATCAGACTTATTCACCAGATATTTACTGAGCATCTGCTCTGTTCCAGATACTATACTAGGTGTTGGGGACACAGTGGTTAGCAACACAGACACCAATAATAGCCCAGCCCTCCTGGAGCTCACAGTTCAGCAGAAGTTTATTGTTCTTGCTGACTCCCTCTGTGTGAGCCCCTCCGAGGGGCAGCGTGGAGGCTGTCTCCTTAAGCCCTAAGGGAAACAAGGCAATGCTGATGTCAGATCATTGTCCCTTTCTGGACCAAGCTGTACTGATGGAGGCTGTCACATGGCTCCATCATCAAATAACCCTCCCCCACCCATAGACATGGGAAGAATCCTGAGGCCATTCCTTACCTGGAAAGATGAGCTCTAGGGGGAGAGCATCTTTATTTTTTTATTATTTACTTGAAAGAGAAACTCAAGCTTGAAAAGAAGGCCTAGGGGAGTAGCAGGAGCTGGGAGAGAAGGCACAGCCAGCAGATCTGGGTGTTTCCAAGGTGCTAATTTAAGCATTAGTTCTCAGCTAGTGGGAGGAAGAGGAAGAAGTCCCTGCCCTGTTGTTGCTGCTGCTGTTGCCACAGCTGCATGGAGCCTCCTGTCTGGGGTGGGAGTTTGCCTGAAGGGAGTGGCCTCCCTCTTTTCCCCATCACACCAATTATTTAATTGGCCTGGCTGCATCTCAGCAGCTGAACCAGGCTTGGGCCCATCCCTGAGAGCTCCCCAGTGTCTCTTCCTGTCTCCTTAGGAAAGGAATGAGAGCTCCTCTTGGAGACCTAGTCCCTGGGCTCCACTCCTGCTGTGGCAATCTAGACAATCCTGAGTGTTTCTAAAGACAGATTTTCCCAAAGAAACTGCCAGGGATAGGCACACCTTGTGTGTCAGTTCTGTGTCCAAGCCATACATCTCACTGACCTAGGGAAGCTCCCAGCTGTCCAAGGCTCTCTGCTGAGCAATTGGGTTGAATTTGGGCTATTGTTTGTGTGAGCAGCGGGAGAGGCTCTCTGGCCCTATTGTCTGTCTGCTGGGCTGGCTGGTGCAGCCTCACAGTCTTATGTCTTCTCTTCGGCTGCAATTGCGGATGAAGAGATTTGTTGCAAAAAAACAAATGGAGCTTTTAAGCACTTAATTGTGCCAGGCAACACCCTGCCTCTTATGTTGTCAGAGATCAAAGAGACAAATATGGCACCAAATGGGGTCTCTGTAAGCTTGAGAGAAATGCTAGTCTGGCATCCCTGAAACCCAGGTTGTCTATTAACTCATTTGTTTAGTTCATGAGCATATGCTCAGTTCAAGGTACTTTAAGGATAGAGACAAGTGAGATCTCTCCACTGGGTGGCCAGGAGAAGCATGGGTGCAAACAGCTACAGGAAGATTTTAGATACGTATCAGGAAAGAGTGGAGATCAATGGCAGGTGTTCCTGAGAAAGAGTGACACCTCCCTTGGGAGAAGACGAGGAATGCTGACATTCTGACCCTTTGACCATGTGAGCTTGGAAAAGAGTTTCAGATTCCTTCTTCCTCCTGACACTCAGGGATGGGAATGGTGAGGACATTAACCCAGTGAGTGGGCCACAGCATCTGAAAGTGGCAGAGAGAACATTGTAAAGATAGCAAGAAGCCACTATGGAATATTGACCTACATGTATTCTGTGGTCTGGGAGCCTTAAGTTGCCTCCTTGTAGTCAGAAGACTTTTCAATATAAGGGTGGATTCTCCGAGTGGGTCATGTGGCTCATGACCCAGTAGTATTTCTCAGTTTCCAGCAAGAGGCACACCCTTCTGTCTGTTCCTGTATTGCAAAGTGAAGATCACCGGGTTTTCTCAGGCCTCCAGCTCCTCCATTACTACTCATCTCCTCAGTTAACAAACACTCAGAACTAACTTTCTGCTAGATGTCTTGCTGGGCTCGATAACACAGAACCTTGCTCCAGGGATATGCACAGTCAAGACTAAGGCACTAAAGGGTAATGGGCACTGCAAGAAGTAAGAACCAGGTCCTGCAGGGCCAAAGGAAGACAGGAAGGG